TTACGTGGTTTCACAGCTTCCATTTTTTTCCATATGATTTCCAGAAAAATCTTAACTCATCCTTGCAAATCTAGACATGTCTCACCTCTTTTTAAATCATTCCTCAAACCATTTCAAAATACAGAATATTACTATTCTATGTAGTATTTGAGTCTGTGAGTTTTGAAAATTCTATTTATTGTGTAAAAGTATATGGTCAGAGAACAGCTTTCATCTCCATAAGGGTTCCCAGGGTCAACTCAGATAGCCAGGCTTGCTAGCAAGCACCTTTACCTGCTAAGCCACTTTGCGTGTATGGCTAGGAGGCTTTTAAAGTGAAAGCTAGGCCATGTAGATTTTGTATCTTATAATCTAGTACAGAGTCACACATACAGAAAATAATTGCATGTAACTAAATGAATTAAATTTAATCCACCAGTTAATAAAGTATCTTACATAATTCTCCAGTCTAGAAAGAAGCCATGTTTTGGCATTTTTACATAAAAATGGCAAGAGATGTTCATAAAATGGTCAAAATAATTTTGAATTAAAAAATTAAGCCTATTTTGTAGTCTTGATTATGTTTTCTTGTATTTAAATTTTTGTTTCACTGCAGTATTTTCATAAACAACTGGGCTTGCCCAACTGTCACAACACTACCATTTCAGCAGAGACACATTTAAGAGTGCCCTGAGAGGCTTCACTCCATCTGAGTCATTACCCATTGCTTTCCTGAGTTCACGGGCACCAGCTCTTAGTACAAGCCCTTGTCTGACTGACATAGCTCATTTCAGGCACTAGGTAAAATCTGTTTGTCAAGTACAGTGAAGAAACCCAGTTTTATTTTAAATTATTTTATACATGTGGGTATTTTGCCTGCATTTATGTCTGTGTACCATGTGTGTAATGCCTGAGGAGGCCAAAAGGGGTATCAGATCCCCTGGAACTGGAGTTACAGACAGTTTTGAGCCTTTGTATGGGTGCTGGGAATTGAACCCAGGGCCTCTGCAAGAGCAGCCAGTGAGTGCTCTTAACCACTGAGCCATCTCTCCAGGCCCCAGATCTGTTTTTAAAAATGGTACTCTAAGTTTATAAGCATTACTAAAACAGATTTTAAGGCACACAATAGTTCAGAAACAGACGCCAACTTGTTTACAAATAACTGTCCTGTGTATATAATGGGCTCCACAGCAAGCCAGCAGTCCAGTGCACAGGTCTTGGAGGCCGGCTCTGCCACTGTCATTACTTGGGTCATACTGCACGGAAGTCTCTCTATGCTTCAGCTTCCTCATCTGTAAACAGGGATAACTGTCCTGCCTCACTTGGGAGAATCACCTTGCTTCCACAGGAGCTTCTGGGACTAGCCTGGCACATACCTGGCACTCAGTGATGGTTCAAGTACTTTCTTCACTATTGTCCTGATTACAGAGCTTTGAGAGATGAAAATCTGTCAATTTGTTGTTTCGTTTAATTAATGTTTTAACCAAGTTCATTTTCTGGCAGCACAGTGCTGTGGCTGGGCTCTTTTAGGAGGGAAACAGGTTCCCTTGTGAGGAGTCAGATGCTGCTACTCTTCAGAGCTAGAAAGGGCAGGGCTCCCTCAGAGGTCCCTCTAACAAAGGACAACATGAGTCATTCCTGGGCTCGTTGGAAGCACCCAGCCTGTCCTCTGCTGATTTCTATGCTATCTACCAAGTGTGGCATTGAGCAGCTCCTCACAGGGACCAACTGTTACATCCTGAACGGAACTTAAGAGCTCGCTGGAAAATAGAATTTTTTTTATTTCTCCCAATGTTCTGAATAGTGAATTTCCATAACAGTAAAACGGCTTAGTGACGCAAGGCTCTCTGGTTCTAGAAAGGAAATTGTGAAATTACCAGTGACCAAGAAAGTACTTCCAGTTTGCCAAAAGAGGGAGCATGGGAGCAGAAAGCTTGTGTTTGTCCAGGCCTCTCAAAAACTACTTATTTGGACTCTGTGTTTTATTTTTTATTTCATTTGCAAGGACTGGGTACAGCGAACCTGCTATTTTTTTTTAAGACTGTCTTAAGACAGAAGAGTAAAACATCAAAACACACAGACCACCTATAATGATCCTTCTCTCCCCTTCCCAGACAAAACACTCACCACATGCCCAGCCGCCACAGCAAACGGCTCCAATTAGACTGCCCTCATTCAGGGGAGAGGGAGGAAGGACTGGGGCAGTGTAAGTCCAGAGATAATTACGTAGACTGTAGACTGTCTGAAAAATGGTGCGGTACATACGCTCCAGACTACCTCCCCACACAGCCAAACTGTGGATGGGCAAGCTTAGGACAGGCTAATCAGCAGGTATCCATTACCTACTCCTGGAGGCAGACTCCTTTGTGCCAAGCAAGAGGCATGATGTAAGTGCCTAGAACTCTTTGTAGAAAGGAACCTTTTATTTCCGTTCCTCAAGGACCAGCGCTGGGTGGGAACCTCTGTAAGATGGCGGTTCTCTGAGACACACACCGCCACAGTCATTTCTCACTGTAAACTCTGCCTTTGTAAAGACAGCTTTGTCTGCGTTATTCATGATGCATTTTTTTTCAATTTCAATTCCAAAGAATCCTGCCAATTTACACATTTTTAGTTTGAGTGCCTATACAGCCTCTTATTTTACTCAAATTATTTTTAAAAATGCTTGGTATCATCTTAGCATTAAAAACTTGAGAAACATACTTGGAAAGGACACAGACTTTAAATTTTCCCAAAAATGTATAAATGTCATGAATGCTAAGTAAGAATTCAGCAGAATGACAAACATCAAATAAAGGCAAATGTGGTTCAATGGCTTACTTCAGAACTGCTGCCTGCTGGATTCATGCGCTTGGCAGGCAGCCTCAGCCCAAAGAAAAGCCAGAGTGCTGACAGTTTCTAGGGTGGTCTCCCTCACCCCAGGTGCTCTGAGGTCCTCTAGCCTGCTCCCCAGCTCTGGAAAACGTGACCGTGAATTCAGCAGGCTGTAACAGGAGGTACATCCTACTTCTAGATTCTTCTTAAAGGACACATTTACAGGATTATTTCCTGAACCAATGGTGATCGAGAGGGAGTTGCCACTACCAGTCAAAGTCCTCACAACAGCTGGTTGTACCAGCCCAGAGAAGGAAATCTGACTGTAGAGGCAGATTCACAGGCGAAATTTTTCTCCTTTATTTGGGCCATCACGTGAAAGACACATTATTTTCTTAAATGATTAAGTGCTCTCATCAATTAGCCAATTAGGATATTAACCTTGACAGAAAAAGTGGATCAAGCTCTTCTTTACTAAGTACAAGCTGTCAAAAACTGTCAGTTGAGTCAAAGCTTTTCTCATGCTCCAATCAAACCATGGACGAGTGGAAGGGAAGTCTGCACAGAACCTGGTAAGCGCATTACTAAGTGTCCAATGTTACATAAAAGCTATAAATAACTTGTTCTTTTAAAGTTTTTTCCAACTTGCTGTTCTTGAAGTGATAACGATGTTCTGCTTCAATTAATAAGGCAACTTTGGAGCTGCCTTTTTGTGTAATCCGCACACTTGATCTGTGCAGAGTAAAGGTGGCAGGCGATGATCAGTTAGAACCCAGAGGAGGTTTTGGGGCTGTCCTTTACACTGCAGAACTCAAGAGGACGAGAGAGCGTAGGACTGAAAACAGGCTGGCCTCTAGGTATAGTAATCTGTGATATTATCTCTACAGGAGTAAATCGAGATTTCTGCAAAAGTCTAGTCTTCCAAGTATTTGTTACAGAATTCACACCCTCACTAATGGAACATTATATACTACTGAAAACACGACAAGCCTACAATTCATCTGACATAAACTAAACTACCTTGGTGTCCAAAAATTATTACTGAATTAAGAAGGGTTTCTTTCTACACACTGGCACACAACCTTTTCTTCTTTTAGCTTCTGATCTACCAAAGGAAGGGAGGACAATGCTGGTAGCTGACTCTCGTCCAGAGAAGAGTATAAGAAACCAAGGAGCAGACTCAACCACAGACACAGGAATCTTCATCTTCTCCTTCCTCCTCTTCCCTTTTCTTTGTGAATGTGTGATGTATGTGTGCATGCATGTGTATGTGCAAGCGCTGTTGTGTGCGCCTGTGTGTACATGTAGTTGTTCATGCGTGCATGTGTGTGCACCTCAGTGTGTGTACGTGTGTGTGTGTGTGCTCATGTGAGTGAGTACCCATGTGTGGAATTCAGGCAGACACTGCAATTCTGATTACTAATAAAGAAGCTTTCAAACAAATATTATGAGTAGATCAAACGTGGGACAAATATCCATGTCTGTAGATGGATGGATGGATAGATGGATAGATAGATAGATAGATAGATAGATAGATAGATAGATAGATAGAGTACTTTTAATTATTTTTTTATTTTATGTGCATTAGTATGAAGGTGTCAGATCCCTTGGAATTGGCATTACAGACAGTTGTGAGCTGCCATATGGGTGCCAGGGATTGAACCCAGGTCCTTTGGAAGAGCAAATGGTCCTCTTTTACCACTGAGCCATCTCTCCAGCCCCCCATGTCTGTATATTTTACACAGCACAAATTTTCACTAATTTTTTTAAAGGGTAGTTAAAAAGAAATAGCCTACAGAGAACATACTAACAATTTAAAACCTGAGTTTTCAAATCTAAAGACAAGATATTTTTTTTTTAAAAAGATTGAAGCCAAATGAAGAGAGAACATAACAAATTTAATATCTTTTCTAAGGAAAACCAAAGAGGTCTTTAGATATCTAGCCCAAATGAAATAGCGGCTGGAAGCACTTGGGATTCCTAAATTTCACTAGGAATCCTGTGTTACCTTTCGAGTCTATGTAGTATTCTATATTTAATGACAAGTTTTATATTTATAATAACAGTCATCAGGACAATCAAATCATTGTATTATTAAATCCACATTCAATGTTAAAAATGAGTAACCATCCTTTGAGATGAAACATGAATATTATGAAATACTTTTAAAAGGAAATTTTTGACACAATTATGTTATTTAAGTCATGACATGTATCAAGCTTTATTTGCTTTTAAATCATGTGAACAGCACAAAAGCTTTTCAAAATATTAAACTGGTTTGCATTTTATAGAAGAGAAAGAAACTGAAGTGAAACTGTAGAGACTGCTGACTTCAGACAAACGTTTCTTCAAAACAAGAGACACTAGTTCCTGAAAGAGCCCTCTAAAGTCAGAAAAAGACTGAGAGAAACATTCATCTATGGGTCACTACAACTTTAAAACCACACAGTTCTTAATGGACATGTGCTTACATTACAGAGAGCAAGCTTAGTCCTTTCCCATAAAACTCAGGAGACACACCACTCGACGCCTAAGCTAAACAAACAACGAAAGCCTCTTCTTCACGTTAAAAAGCCCTTTAAAACCTGATCTGCCTTCACTTCATTTTCCAAGACCACTTTAGAAGGGCTGGCTAGTCTGAAAGCAAAGGGTGGAAAAGTCACTTCTGAGCAGGAAGCACGCTGGCGATGCACACAGCCAGCGGCAACTGAAGCCCAGACAGGGCTCAGAGCACCAGCCGGTCCTCTCCGCCCTCCTGAATTACCTGACCGATGGAGATTTGGTTTTGTTGCTTTAGAAAGCACTGTTTTTTACATTCCATTAGTTGCTCAAGATCACGCCACATCTTTGCTTGCTTCATATTTGGGCCATGACTTTCTCGTACAGCTTTTTGTTTTTCCCGGAGTTTCTATGATTAAAAAACGAAACAAAACAAAAACCCAAGAATAATAAATCATTGGTTAAAGGGATTTACTGCTGTCATCATGAGGCAGAGGAGTATGGTATGTTTTATACATTTAATGAGTGGTAATGAAGCAACTATGTTCTCCTCTAAAACATTTACACTAAGAATATCTTAAAAGATAACTAAATTTAAGGTACATGTAAAATGACTTGAAGTTACAAAGATCAGAAAAAGAGCCTGGAGAGATGGCTCAGAGTAAAAAGCAGTGGTTGTTCTTGCAGAGGGCTCAGCACCAACTTGGTGGCTCACAACCATCTGTAACAGTCTAGAGGCTCTGATGCATGCATGTGGTACACTTATATACATGCAGGAAACATTCATATACACATAAACCAACCAATTGCTTCAAAGCCTTCTGGCTAAGCTCAGTGTAAGAAACAAAAAAGTCTTGAGAAAAACAGGAAAAGAAGGAGAGGGGAGGGGAGGGGAGGGCAAGGGGAAGGGGGGAGAGAAAAGGGGAGGAGGAGAAAGGAGGGAAGTGGAGAGGAGAGGAGGGAAGCAGACTGTTCTGACAGCACAGAACAGCAGTCAAAGGACCTGAGGTTCAGTGTGGCTTTGTCTCAGATATAAGCGAGGTACCTAGGTTCCCTGGATCTCAGTTTTCTTCCTTGCCAACTGTAGCTAATAACAGGGAGCAATAAGAATATGCATCTTATACTATTCCTTCTTCATGTGATAACAGAGATGGAAATACTTAACAAACCATATTGTGTATGTTATCATTAAATGTTATATTCTCCCCTAAAATCATGTACATTTTATGTAAGTTCAAATTATCAAACCACATCCATACCTTCTTCAGAGACAATGAGTATCTTTTTTAAAAAGGCATTTACCAGTCAATAGGCCAAAATCTTTGAAAAATACTTTTTAAAAATAAGATTTATTGCCAGCCAGACTACAAAGTAGGTTCCAGGACAGACAGGGCTATACAGAGAAACCCTATCTCAAAAAATAATAAAAAAAAAAAAAGACTTATTTATTTTTACTTTTATATATGGGTATTTTGCCTGTATGTATGTCTGTTGTACCACATGCATGTCTGGTCCCCATGGAGGACAGAAGAGGTTGTCAAATCACCTGGAAATAGAGTTCCAGGGGGAAGTGAGCCACCATGTCAGTGCTGGGAACTGAACCTGGGTCCTTTGGAAGAGCAGCCGATGTTCTTCACCACCGAGCATCTCTTCAGCCCCCAGAATTATTTTTGTTACTAACAGTCTAGATAGTTCCACCTGCTAAAACTGGTTTACTTAATTGACTATAATTATAAATAGAAGTGCAAAATGTTTTCAATGAATTGCAAAATTATACTCTGGTTCTGTACACCGAGGAAGGCTGATAAAAAGTAGTGAGAACAAAGACAGGGCAGGAAGGAAGGGCAGAGGTGGCAGTTTACATATACGGAAACAGTGCAAGCACTGCGACAGAAACGCAAACAGAGGCTGGTGTGAGAAAGCCACCAGGAGGGAGAGAGGCAAGGAAGCACAGAGCAGCCACCGCACAGGAACACACTCATCTGCCCTCCTTTAGGAGACAGCTCATCCACTGATGCTTCGGACAGATGAGAGTGCTGCTGGCTGATGCCTGCCCAAATAAGAGAATGGACAGGATGAAGGCGAGATTTAAACCACTGATTAAATACTGCCCACCCCAGTTATGGGAACTGAAAGCAAATGTAACAGTAAACACTGAGAGAACACACGGGAGAACTTTCAGAAATAATCATAACGTAACCAACAGAAAGCACATGCTTAGCATGTGTGAGCTTCTGTTGTGAGTAACAGATTTCACCACAACTTTTTTTTTTTTGTTTGGTTTTGAGACAGGGTTTCTCTGTGTCCTTGGCTATCCTAAAACTCACTCTGTAGATGAGGCCGGCCTCAAACTCACAGAGATCTGCCTGCCTCTGCCTCTGTGCTGGGACTAAAGGAGTGTACCACCACTGCCTGCCTAAGCACAAACACTTTTATGTTCACAAATTAAAATTATTTGAAAAGACCATTAAAGTATACTAAGAATTTTCAGAGTTCTGAGCATATAATATATATTTATAATAAAGTATATAATGCATATTATATAATATGAAATTCTATAACATTAATATAAATTTGTTTGTATGTGATATAATTATATATAATATTAATATACATGCATATGTTTATCTGTGTGTGTTATAGGTGTTTGTTTACATGTATGTCTGCACCACATGCATGCCTGAATCCCACAGGCACCAGAAGGGGACATGGAATTCCTTGGTGCTGTTATAGACAACTGAGAGGCACCAGGCGGGTGCTAGGAATTAAACCTGGTCCTCTGGAATAGCTCCTAACCACTGAGCCAGTTCTCCTGCCCCACAAGACGTTTCTAAACAAGAGAAAAAAGGGAACAATTTCATATTAACATAATATGGAATGTTTAAATAAAAGTCTACTGATAATCATATTAACTTCAAAAAATTCCAACAATCTATTGTTAATGTATTTCACAAATGAAGGTTTATAAAAACTAATTCAAACATGAAAATTCTATTTTTTTTCTTTTTGGATGCAGCTATGCCACCCTACAAAGCAGTGGTTCTCAACCTGTGGGTCTTGATCCTTTTGGGATCAAATGGCCCTTTCACAGGGGTATCTTAAGATCAGTGGAAAACATAGATATTTACATTATGATTTATAACAGTAGCAAAATTGGAATTCTGAGATAGAAACAAAAATAATTTTCAGTTGGGGTGACCACAACATAAGGAATTGTATTAAAGGGTTGCAGCATTAGAAAGGCTGAGGACCAATGCTGTAAAGAAATCAGGTACAGAACTTACAAGTTTGTGTGTGTGTGTGTGCGCGCGCGCGCATGTGCGTGTGTTTATACACTTGATACGTGCTTGAGGTCAGAGGACCTCTAAAAGGACTGATGTAGTTTTCTCTTCTAGCATGAGTCCTGGAGACTGAACTCAGGTCATCAGGCTTGGTGGCACACACTCTAACATTCAGCCCCATCAGTGGTTCCTTTAAACTCTTAAGGAATTAACAAACCCTTGAAACTGTAGCCTTCAAAAAAGAATGACAATATCAGAGCCATGCAATAAAAAGTCTGAATTAGAAACATTAAAGAAACGATTCTTACCTTACCAAGGTTTTCTTGTTCAGTAATATTTTTGGTATACTGTTCCCTAGGAAGTCAACACAATGATTTAATTTCAACTTGAATTGATTTAACCACACAACTAAATTAGAAATTAGCATATCTAAATACATTTACAGTTTAGGGCAGAATGAGAATGAAACTCATCAGATACTTTGTTTTTCCTCATGTTTAGTCATTTCTTCCAGCAAACAGTAATTTAAAAGGAGGGAAAGGGACAAAGCATTATACAGGAAGTTAAGACAATTTAAGATATTAAATACTATTTCTGGTTAATCTTCCCTTAAAACAATAGCAATCCATTTGCTTAAACTACACATTGCCTTTTAGAGTCTGCAGAAGGAAGGGGCACACGATAACCAAACACTGAACAGAGGCTGAGTCTGCAACTCTACTTCCAGGAAGTCACCCTAAGGAAGAACTCCCAAGACGTAAGAAACATAAAAGCAAATACTATTTACGTCATCAATGCATGGAATACTGAAAACTGCTAGACTAAATGCATGTATATGGGGAAATGTTTAGGAAGATTAATCTATTGAAAGAAATAACACAAAGTTGTGAAAAATAAGAAAATCTATATACTGAAGTGGGAAAATTCTAAAAAATATGAAGATAATTAAATACATACATGTTTATGCACACAATGTATTTCCCACGCATTTGCTAACACACACATGCAGATGTAGCAGCATTTGCATGTTTGAATATAGTACAATGTACACTGAAGCATGAATACACTGTTGAAGTCATATCAAATGGCTGCAGCTTTAAAAAATAGTTTGTTTTGGGGCGTTTTGTTTGTATGCATGTTTATATACCACAGGTGTGCCAAACTCATCTACTGAGGCCGTAAGTGGGTGCTGAATCCCCTGGAACTGAACGTACAAATGGCTTTGAGCCACCACGTGGGTGCTGGGACTCAAACTCAGACCCTCTGTATGAGCAGCCAGTGTGCTTAACTGTTAAGCCAGCGGTCCTCAGCCTGTGGGTCCTCACCTCTTTGGGGGATGAACAACCTTTTCACAGGGGTCACCTAAGACTATTGGGGAAATATATTTACATTAAGATTCATAAAATGGCTAAATTAGTTATGAAGTAGCAATGAAAAAGATTTTGCAGTTTGGGGTCACCACAACATGAGGAACTGTATTAAAGGGCTGCAGTGTTAGGAAGGCTGAGAACCACTACTTTAAGGCCTCTCTCCAGCCATCCTCTACCCACCATGGCCCCCTCTTTTTTTTTTTTTTTTTTTTAAGATCTCATGTACCCAGTATATCCTCAAACTTAAATGTATAACCAAGGCTGACATTGAATTCCTGATCCTCTTGCTTTTATCTCTGAAGTGCTGGTCTTTACAGGGGTGTGCTACCACAGTCTAATTTTTCTTCCCTCCTCTCTCCTTCTCACCCTCCCTCCCGTTTTTCTTTCCTTCCACAGAGGTCTGCCTGCCTCTGCCTCATGAGTGCTGGAACTACATATACACATCTCTAACAAAGTCTCACCATTTTTCTCAGGCTGGCCTCAAACTGTTGGGCCAGTCCTAAATCTGTAACCCTCTAATCTCAGCCTCCCAAGTGCTAAGATTACAGTATGTGTCACCATGTTTTACCAATGTTCATCATAAAAGCACTCAATTTCTGTGTACACTACTTCATGGTTACTTTTTGGTTTTATAAATATTTTTGTAAGCTAAAAAAAGTCATTTAAAGTAAAAAATTAAATGTATTTAAAATCAAAGTACAATTTATTTTAATGCTGCGTAAGAAGAAAGTTTGAGACTTAAAGTAGGTGATATGTTAAGGTCAAGATTGAACGGTAAGATTGAGGAACAGATCCCAAGTGTCCAGACTAGTCCATGCCAACTTGACACAAGCTGGAATCCTTTAGGAAAAAGGATTCTCAGCTGAGAAAATGCCTCCGAGATCGGGCTGTCGGCAAGCCTGAGATGCATTTTCTTGATCAGTGATGGATGTAAGAGGACCCTGCTCACTGTGGGTGGTACCTCGCTAGGGCTGGTGGTCCTGGGTGCTCTACAACCTCAGGCTGAGCAAGCCATGAGGGGCAAGCCAGTAAGCAGTGCTCCTCTATGGCTTCTGCATCAGCTCCTGTCTCCAAGTTCCTCCCTACTTGAATTCCTGCACTGACTTTCCAATTTCCTATACTTAAAATCTGAAATAAAGCTTTTACTCCCCAAGGTTGATTTTGACCAATTTTCATCACAGCAATAGAAATGCTAACTAAGCAAGGAATATGGAAGGAGACTTTAGATTTTAGATGTATTTCTTTGTTTATTTATTTATTTACTTATTTTGGGTTTAGTGAGACACGGTTTTTCTGTGTAAACCTCAAACTCACAGAGATCCACTTGCCTCTGCCTCCCAAGTGCTGGGATTAAAGCCATGTGACACTATGGCTGCCTAGATCTTATATTTAAATGCAAATATTGTTTTTGTTTTTCTATGCAAACTTAGATTGTACTGTTAGAGGAATTAAGCAAGATAAGATGAAAAAATCTAAGCTGTCATAAACCACAAAGGAGAAAGCCCAAAAGCATCAGCAGCAGAAGCTCCCGCCTCTGCAGTAGAGGAAACAAGAGCGACAAGGACAGGTGGAATGGCACAGAAAGCACCCAGTGTCCTTGCAGAGAAGCACAGGCAGCACCTGCACACTGAAACAAGGTGGAGGCGGTCAGCAATCTCACAAGCCTTCACTTTGCCCTTAAAATTCATGTAACACAAGGTCCATCTGCTTGTTTTGCACACTCTCCAAAGAACTGCTACGAGGAATTAAATAGTAACCCAAGACGAATGTTTGGAGCTGGGTACAGTGACACACTTTTAATCCCAGCACTCAGGAGAGCAGAGGCAAGAGGAGCTCTGTAAGCCTAAGGCAGCCAGGTATACATAGCAGAGTCGATACAGTGAGACACTGTCTTAAAAAAAAAAAAAAGCACATATCATAGCTCAGATGGCTTTAAGGAATTAACTATTATTTTAGGTCTGAGATTTGTCCAGATTGTTTTAGCATTTTCATTTATTTAAAATTTCTTGGGAAACCAACAGGCTCAGGATAGTAGAATGCTAGCCCCAATTTGCCATGTACAAGGCAGTCAGAGGTGCAGGTTAAAAACAAAAAACAAACCTTTTGCTATTTCTTTTTGCTTGTTTGTTTGTTTTTTTCTAGACAGGGTCTCATTATGTACCTCTGGGACTCATTCTGTAGACCAGGCCAGCCTCCGACCTCAGAGATCTGCCTGCCTCTGCCTCTGCTGGAATTAAAGGTGTGTACCACTACTCCCACCCCAGGCTATTTCCTAAACCTTTGGCCTAATTAAAAAAATTTATTGAATAACAATAAATTTGTCTCTGTAGTAATACTTTCAACATGTGTTTGTGAGTTTACAATGTAACCAACACCATTTTTCATATCATTCTTCAGAACGGCTTTAAAATTGATCTGTGTTGTGTGCACAAGTGCATTTGTACACCCGCATCAGGGGACCACTTGCAGGAGTATGTCCCTACCACCCACAACACGCGTTCAGGGGATCTTATTTAGTTAGTCAGGCTAGGTGGCAGGCGCCTGAACCCTCTGAGTCATTTGCTGGCTGCTTTTTACAGTATTTGAATCTACTGCTGTTGTCATGGCACAGTATTTTTCTACAGGAAATCTAGGGGAATGTGAAAGTTTACAACAATGTGCTTCATGCGCACGTGTGCAGGTACCCCAACCATGTGCGGAGGCCAGAGGCTGGCTTCAGGTATGTCCCTCCCTCCTCACTTCTCTTCCTCATGTTTAGAGAAGTCTCACAGGCCCCAGAGCCTACTTTTTGGCTACACTGGCTGTCCGGTAAGGCCCTGAGAGATGCCTGTCTCTGGCCGCAGTGCTGGGGTTGCAGGAACATGGCATCACATCTGCTTTTCATGCAGTGCTGGAGAGGCACACACAGATCCTCATGCTTGCACAGTGAGCACCTTACTCACTGAGCCACCTCCCCAGCTAAACTGATCTTGTTTCAAATAAAAAATCACTGTCCGCTTATTTTGTATGTGTGTGCACACTCAAATGCCTGTGCCACCATAGCACATGTGTGGAGGTCAGAGAACAACTTGTGGGGCTCACTTCTCTTCTTCCCCCATGTGGATTCTGGAGATTAAACCCAGGCTGTCAGGGGTGATAGTAAGTGCCCTTATCCACTGAGCCATCCTGCGGGACCCAGGCAGATATTTTAGTGATGAAGTACATCCTGTCAGACAATGATCATACATTTAACAATTCAGAAGCAACTATCTCCTCTTCATTTTTATACTGATAACTTTGAAGAAATGAATTTACATTCTAAAATGTCTACTCTTCAAGAGCAAATCAACTACTCTTATTTCTTACCACTGACAATACAGACCGTAAGAACAAAGTTTGGCCTGGTTGGTGGTGACACACACCTTTAATCCCAGCACTCGGGAGGCAGAGGCAGGCAGATCTCTGTAAGTTTGAGGCCAGTCTGGTCTACATAGTGAGTCCAGGACAGCCAGGCTACAAAGAGAAACCAAACCAAACCAACCAAACAAACAAAAGCCAACCAACCAAAACAAAAAACTCACAAAGTTTAAATTGTTTGAAAGACTCTGAGTAAGGACTTCTATAGTTGACTATGCGAAAGCATGTGTTAAAGTCACTACTTGTAGGAGCTCCCCAGTCCGGCCTTCCAGTGTACTACACAGACTATGCAACAGACAACTTCCCAGGCTCCTTCTGGTGACACTAATGTGCCACCACTCAGGATCTCAGCAGCAACCTCAAACAGACATGACTTCTACCCTTTGTGTTCTTGCTGCAGACTAAAAAGAAAACATCTGAGCTATGATGGGCAAAGAAGGCTGACTTCTATGACTGCATTTATTACAACCTGCAATTTACCTACAAATGTATTTTAGGGCAAGAGTTGATTCATCACAGTATGCCACAGTGGAGACTACAAAAGTCACCATGTAAGGACCAAGCAGTATTTATACTACACTGCTCTCATTTTAAAGGCTGGCACTCCACAGTTACATGGTTTCCAGCTAATAGGCAGTTGTCACACTGCACAATTAGCAAGCAGATGACCAGAGCCCCAGCCACGTGTGCTTAAAGAGATGACATTAAAACGCTAATGCTTATAGAGAGCAAATATAAAAGCACACCTAATTCCTGGGGGGTCAGAGTGCAGGTTAATAATTAACGGACCGTGAAAGGGTTTGGAACTAGATAGTGGTGATGGCTCAGCACTGTGAATGTACTCAGTACTACTTATTGCATGCTTAGAAGTGGCTAACGTGACAAATTTTATATTTTACATACATACATATATTTGCTACATGAAAAAAAGCAAGAAATACAGCTATCTGTGCTCCTACCCCATGTTAAGAGGGCTAGGATATCCTAAAATTCAGTCTTCAACAGCAGCTTGGCATCTGATAGCTGAAACATTCTGTATGTTTCTTTCTTACTTATAAACCTTCTATAGGTGGAAACATTGAATCAACCAGTATAAAAATAAAAATTACTTGCCTGATTGCTTTTCTTTTTTCTTGTTGATCAGAAGAGACATAAGCCTTCATCTCATCAGTAGCTCGACGAAGCTGAACTTCTAGGTTCTAAATGCAAAGACAAGTTTCAGGAAGTCTTTAATACTGGGGTTGGGGGAAGGAATTTCAGAAGGGGACTGCAAAATGGTTCAGCAGGTAAAGGTACTTCCCGCAAAGTCTGACAAACCTGAGTTCAATCCCCAGGACTCACATGGTGGAAGAAAGTACTGAGTCCTGCAAGCTGTTCTCTGACCTCTACAGATGTACCAGGGCATATGGTATGTGTGGCCACACACATACACAATCAACCAACCAATGAAATAATTTTTAGTCAGGTGTGGTAGTACACACCTTTGATCCCAGCCCTCAGGAAGCAGAGGCAGGCAGATCTCTTTGAGTTTAAGGCCAGCCTGGTCTACACAGGGAGCTCCAGGACAGCCAGGACTATAGAGAGAACCAGTCTCAAAAACAAAACAAAAAAAAGAAATAACAAATTTTAAACTTTTTCAAAAAAGCTTGTGACCCCCATTCCTGACTTACCTTAATCATACAGTTTGTATAATGGTATTTACTTTCTTCTTGAAGACATTCTTCACGGAGTCCCCGCACTTCCTACATGATGTTAAGTGGGCAGCAAGTTATTGAAATAATAGAAAAGAAGTCGGCTTTAACTGCACATCAGAAGAACAACCACCAGGACCACCCCACCGTAAGCTCATTTATAGAAACAGTGCAGGTAGCACTTTGCGACCTGCAGGTGCAGTGGCTCATTCACTGAGTGTGTGTGTGTGTGTGTGTGTGTGTGTGTGTGTGTGTGTGCTAGGACACAGCGAGGGCGGTCAGGTCTTGTTCTCATAAACAAGGAACTGGCAAAGAATATTTCTGATGGGTAAAGGTGTTACATGGAAAACTCAGCATTGGGTAGATGGTACACCAACTGTGGCAGGCTGATGAGGAGCTTGGGAAATGCTAGGTAGAGTGAGCAGAAACATCCTGGAGTAGGAGCTGATTTTCAGGCTGCATTTCCAAGTGATGAAAATAAAAGGGGAGAGAAGACACTAAATGTACCAGGCAGAGAGTAGAGGACATACAAAAACCTGGAGGAGGGACCGAGCTTGGCCAGTTTAGAGTTTAGACACAAGGCCACCATGCTGGATGAGGAGGAAGACTACAGGACACAGATATGACCTTGACAAAGCAGGTGGAGCTGAGCACAACAGAATCTGGACGTGAGGTGTTACTTCAAGTGCAATGGGAAGCAATGGAGGGTGGCCTGTATTACACCATGTCTGCTCTAGAGATTAAATGTAGGAAAACAAGAGCAGATAGGTAGTTACTATGAGAGTCTAGGCAGGAGAAAATGGACCTGAGGCTTTGACAGTAGTGGTATAGATGGAAAAATTCAGTCTACATATAAACTTTAAAGGAATAAAGATTTCTGGTGCTTCAGAGGCAGGCTAGGAGTACGATAAAGATGTATGAATCTCATGACACAGAGGGAGTGAAAATATCCACACATGGGTGGCTTTTGCTAAACTGTTAAAATAAAACCCTCTTCTTACCTGCTCTAATTTGGACCGATTGCTTTCAAGTCCTGCCGCACAGCTATCATACTGGGCTTTCTTTTCATCACACTCCTGGGTTAGTTCCTAGTTTGAAAAGGGCAAATGATTAAGTGAAAAACAAAGGCACAAAATGTGGCTCTGAAACAATGCATGTCCTTGTCAGTCTTGTAACTTGACTCTAAGCTTCTTGGCATACTTACGAGTTATTTATACAACAACTGGACATGTGAGAATTATGACAGATGGAAGTGCTGATAAGAATAATAGCTACCATGTACTGATCTTTGTGCCAGGCTTAGGAGCTGGGGACACACGGCAAACAAAACAGCATTCCCCTAAGTAATGCTCAGAGTCCACAGGTTGTAAGAGTTTCAGTGGACGAATGCAACCTGAACAGGAGCACACAGGACTCTCAGAACTAATCCAGGCTTGGGGATCAGTAGGGACAACTTCCTGGAGAAACGGATATCTAAACTGAGAATTGGGGATTAATAAGAATGTTTAGGGAAAGGTAAGCAAGGGAAAGGAGATGCTTAAAACAAACAAACAAACAAACAAACAAACAAACAAACAAACAACAACAAAAAAAAAAACCATGAACAAAAATTGAGGGCTATATAAGCAGTCCACCATTGGAATGGGTCTGGGAATAGGGAGAAAAGAGGCTGAAGATGTATGCGGGGTATGATGAGAACTCTGGGAATCCTATCAGGGCACATGACCTGGGCTGGACAGTAATCAAATCTTTAACAATGCTGAAAGTGATACTGACTCCATATGATACTTAGAGAGCATCAAGAAAGGCCAGGTACCTTGCCCAGATTAAACTGCTATAAAGGGCAGAGTCAGGGTGAATTCAGGTTCCTCTAGTAGTTTCAAAGTTTATTTAGATATTTTGAAGGAGATAATCTGAAAACCTGCTGCAAATACACAGAGATGATAAATATCTGCAAATGCTCGCTAAGGAGGAACAAATGTCTCTTAAAATCCAGGGCTGAACTGAACTGCCAAGGCAGTGGCGTCATTAGGCTTAGAAACAAGAGACTGATTGTGGCCATCTTGGGAAATGCGTCTGGACAGCAGAGGAGGCACAGCAGCATCCACGGGGCAAGAGAAACCACCAGGAACACACAGGGTGAGGATTTGGAACTGAGGAACCCATGGTAGACCACAGCTGTTCTCAATTTGGAACCTTCCAAAGGGTTAAAGGCTAAAGAGAAAGGGTTAAAATTAGCCTGAAAACGACCTTGGTTTCATGCAGTAGCACCTTGGAAACAGGACTGCTGTGGATGATGTGTTGTATGTACTGTCTCTGTTGTACGGACTACATATGGCATGGGTAACTAGAACAGTTTAAAGACTGCTTTATGCCTCGAAATGAGCTAAAGGGGAAGCCTGTGGGATGGCTCCGTGGCTAACAGCACTTGTTGACAAGTTTGAATGATACAGAAGTTCAACTCCCAAGACCCACAGTGTGAAAAAACTGACTCCCACAAGTTTTCCTCTGACACCCATGCATGTACACACACACACACACACACCACAAAATAAATAAATGAATGTAGCAATCATATGTCCCATAAATGGGAGAAAGGGCAGCAGCTGTGTGTCCTTAGACAGCTTCTCAGTAAGATGAACTTGCTACAGTGATGACAGAGCCTTCTTTAAAAGCAAAGCAAAGCAAAGCAAAACAACAGGGTATACGAAGTTCTAGCCGGTCTGGAACTTAAACTTATTACTATGTTTAACTAGACTGATCTCAAGATCCACAGAGAACTGCCTGCATCTGCCTTTTGTGTGCTGAGATTAAAGGAGTGTGTCACCATGACTGGCTGATTACAGCTTTTTTATGATTTTTTTGACCTGTGAAACTGAAAGCAATCATGATCTATAGCTTGGTTGCCACAGTGCTGACTTAAGGTTTACATTTCTCCCCCTACCTGGTCCAAGAACTCGCAAGAGGAGAGCTCAAAACTAGCTCCTAGCTTATGCCCATTCTAAAACACTAGGCCAAATAACTGAATAACCACCATCTGTTGCAGAAATTCAAGAGACGGAAGCTCCACTGGTGATAGCAGCACCTGCCTGCAATCCCAGCTCTCAGGAGGCCGAGAGGGTTGTGAGTCACTCGTTCATATGCTGTTTCACACAATGACAGAGCAGACACGAGTGTACACACACACAAACATAATAAATAAAACAAAGTAATAAACCAAAAACAACTGAGGGCTGGAGAGATGGACCAGCAGTTAGAGCACTTCCTGTTCCCCCGGAGGACCTGAGTTTGGTTCCCAGCACCCATGTCAGAGGCTCACAACCTCTTTTAACCTGAGCTCCAGGAAATCTAATGCTCTCTTCTGTTTCCATATGCCCCCATACAAACAAAAAATGAACGAATGAACAAATGACTATTTCAGGGAGGGAGGCTGCTTGGGAGAAAGGTATGAAATACAGGCAGCAATGGTGAGCAGTGGTGAGCAGTGGTGAGCAAGGGGCAAATCTAAGCCAGACATGGCCGTGTAAAGTAGGAACTAGAAGACTAGAAACACATGACAGACACCCTCAGAGACAGAAAAAAAAATTAAAATGACAGAGGATAACAACACCTGTGTAGGTTTGAGGGAATTTAAATTATTCTAAAATCTATGTATTGGCAAATGATGTTAATTAACCTTGGTCTTTTATTGAGTCAAGAATATGTGTGGGGAAAGCGTATGTGTGGAAAAAGAGAAAATTATAATTAAAGGAAAATATAGAAAAGAACATAAAGGAAGGAAATAAGGGAAGAAAAACCAGCTCTTGGAATGGGAGGTGGATAGGAAAAAATTAAGCAAAGAATCAGCATAATATATAGGATACACGAAAGGAAAAATCCAGATCCACCCATAATCTGAGTGAATGCATGGGACCGGCCACACAAAGCCCAAGCTATCTGCTATATTTGAGATTCATAGGACAAAACAAGAGCACAGAAAACTAAGTGAAAAGAAATAAAAGGATGCTTCGAGCAATAAGAAACCTAGCTTGCCTGCTCCACTAGCAGGCAAACCAATTTTTCAGTATCACCAAGAATAAAGGTAGGAAGAAATAAAGAGAAGACAGAATTTACAAGGAAAGGTTTTTGTTTTGTTTGATTTTGCAAGGGAAGTTTTTAGGCATGTTAAAACACACCTCCCATGAAGTTGCTCTTCTTTACTATTTTGTTTTTGAGACAGGGTCCTGTTATGTCATGATGCAGTCTGGGCTCTAACCCACAGTTGTCAAGCCCCAGTGCCCTAAACAAAAGGATTTACATGTACGTATTACCACACTTGGCTCCATCATTCCCAATTTTTTTTTTTTTTTTGCCTCTGGAGACAGGATCTCATTATGTAGCCTTGGCTGGCCTGAAACTTGCTGTTATAGAACTAGCTGGCCTAAACTTGCAGCGATCTCCTGCCTCTGCCTCCTGAATGCTAGGATTACAAGGGTGCAGCATATGGTGTGATCTTGCCTCATTTTTCCAAATTTAAGTGTGTAATTCATGACATTAAGCACACCATAGTGTTGAGCAACTGTGACCAAGACCCACCTGCAGAACTCTTTCCACCTAGAAAGGTTTCTGGAGATTTTATCTATTAAACACAACTTCTATTCACCAGAAAGTTTTCAACACTTCTAAGGAACCTGATCATTCTGTGGATCCTGTACTCAACCACTGGGAAGTATGTGCTCTTTTTATGATCCAGTTACCAAGCTAGGCTGGCCCTTACTCTACCACCACACTTCACCCCACAGTCTGCAGAGCTACACTCCGTACAAATACTCCAGAAAGAAAGCATGGGCTACTAAGCTGTTACGGAAGTATGCGAACAAACTCTAGGCTGCCAGAGGACTCACTGGGGGCTACTGATCTTTGGAATAATTTCTTAGGCCTCTATTAGTGGAAACCTTACAGAAAGAAGGGCAATGAAGGACAGACAGGACTGGAGATGAGTACCAGATCTGTAGTCACAGATGTAAGAGCTAAAAACAAAGCGTAAAGTGGGGTCATGGCACAAAACTAAACATTCATGCTCTGGTAAGGTAGGCATGACCTAATGCCGAAGGAAGCGTTTTTGAAGGGAAGGAAGGCAGGAGACAGCATCAGGATGCTGGCTTTCCTGCTTTGTTTGTTTTATTTTTTAAATTGCTAGGAGTAGGAGAATGTCAGAGGATAGCTTTTCCAGGTACAAAGGTAGACCACAGTATAAGCGCAATCAAAGGGCACAGGCAAACACTAAGAAAAATAACACAGCAAACAAAACTCTACTGTCAGAGGAAGTGGGCAGAAAGGAGTTAAAAAGACCACAACACTAAACCAAACAAGTGCCCTCACTTTTCAAGGTGGAAATTAATAGATACTATCTAATGAATGGGTGATTAATCAAAAAGTTAGAAACATAGAGGCTAGAACAAAATCACAAGCTGTAACACACAGTCACTTGTACACATGTAATGTGAGAGTAAAACAGAGCTTCTGCACAGGCTTTAACATCAAAATAAAAACATAAAATGATCCCACTAAGACTAAATATGTTTGTATGTCAATAAACAGAAATAAGCTAAACTTACCTATTAAAATAAACCTTTATGATTATATCACACAACAAAATCTAATTTAAGATTTTTCTAAAAATGAGTAAAGTAGAGAAGGAAGAAATGTATACCAAAAAATTGACTGTAGTCTGCTTTCAATAAAAATGTGTGTTTGAGGTAATTTTCGTGTGTGTATATGTGTATATATTAGGAAACTTTACCCATGACTTTTCACATACTACATACAAGCTCTGTTACTGAGCTACATCTAGCCCATAAGATTAATTACATTTTTAGGAAGTAAATATATATAGAAAGCAAATTTAAGGCAGCCATTAGGTAATTACTTAGGGCCTGGAAAGATGGCTCTGATGTTACGAGCGCTCACTACTCTTCTAGAAACCCTGAATACAGAACACAGCACCTACATGGGCGACTCACAGCCATCTGTGACCCCAAACCCAGGGCTCAGGGGCTTCTTCTGGCCCCACAGTTGCTGCACCTCTGCCGCATGGTGCTAGTGTGCATGCACGCACCCTGCAAAAAATAAACTAAGCAGGTCTTTGTCATGTGTCCTTAATGCCAGCACTTAGGGGCAGAGGCGGGAATTCAAAGCCAGCCTGGTCTATATAGTAAGTTTCAGGCCAGCCAGGGCTACATAATTAGACCCTGTCAACAAACAAACAAACAAACAAAAAAACAGGCAGATAAATACTAAAATCTATTCATTAACTCCCACAAAATTTCCTGAAAATATTTAAGGCCCTTTTATTCTCTCTCTCTCTCTCTCTCTCTCTCTCTCTCTCTCCGTGTGTGTACGTGTGTGTGTGCGTGTGTGTGTGTGCGCGCACATGTGTGCATGCGTGAGTACATGTGTGCATGTGTGTGATGAAGGAGCAGATAGGAAAAATAATATTTTTGGGACAAGATCTCAGGTAGCTTTAGCTGGCCTTGAAATTGTTTTCTATAATAAAGATTCTTTTGGGCTCAGTAAAGAAGCATGGAAACAATGCCTTAGTAACATCATTCACTCACAGTTGGGGCAGGAGATCCAACGGCAACCCACAGAACAAAGACTTAAGAAAAGGTTTACTTTTATTTATATGTATACATATGTCTCTGTGAGCATCTGTCACAGAGATATTCAGGGGCCCTTGGCAGCCAGAAGAAGGTATCAGATCTCTGCTTTTGTCTCCCATTTGTCTATCTGCATAAACTACCAAACCTATCTCAGACTGCACGGCATTTTCTACAAAAAGAAAATTATGTCTGACTGTTTTCAAAGTGTATGTGATTTTCCACTCTGGGGCTAACTCTGACAGATGGTTTTCATGTAGAAGTAGTTTTCTAGTTCCATCCGCAGGCACATGTGAGATGGCTCACACTTAAACTTACGATTACTCCAGAGAATGTTGAAGTAGCAGCTGCTGATGCCAAATGGTAGAGGCCGCTGGACCCTGCTGTGGAGAGCACTTACCTTCTGACAGTTCATCTTCAGAGCAGTGCTTAGAATAAGCTCCCAAGTAATGGCCCTTGTGCTTATCCTACTGCAGTGCCTGTTATGCCTGTCAGAAAAGTAAGCTCGTCCATCTAAGGCTGATTTGCTAGTGCTCTGATACTCAGCCATTACCTGGCCACAGAAGAATAGGGTTCGATATTTACAGCTTTCAAGTGTAAATGATTTTTGAAAATTTCACCTGGCTGCATTTTGTATTTCAGTTTGACTTCCTACTCCCCACTCCTTGCTAACTTATGACAAAATAAGCAGCATCAACTCAACAAAACCTTTGTGGGCCACATCATCACTGGCCTATGGCACCTCAATACGGTGACAATAATTTCGTTTACATTATCTCCCAAGCTAAACACTTAAGAGTCCACCTAGTACATCTGAGTAAGACAGAGCTAAAGGTATCAAAGCCAAACTTACTTGACATTTCTGACGCAACTGTCGTAGTTCTTTTATAACTGGAGCTAGAGCTGACTTCTTTTCCGATACCAGGGAATTCAGTTTTTTTACCTGTCATTCAAAGCAAAAAAAAAAAAAAAAAAAATGACATCTAAAAAAATGAAAAGATATGATACATATATAGTTAAATAAAGACTTAAAAAATAAAACCCATAAATTACTTCAGTGCCAAATAATAGGGAAGGGATTTAGTGGATGTTAATTTCTCTTTTCTTTCTTTCTTTTTTTTTTTTTGTTGTTGTTGTTGTTTTTGTTTATGGGGAGACAGGATCTCACTATGTAGTTCTGGCTGTCCTGGAACTCACTATGTACACCAGGCTGGCCTCGAACTCACAGAGATCTGTCTCCCAAGTACTGGGAGTAAAGGTTTGTGCCATTAAGCCTGGCTAGTCAATGTTAATTTCTTAGCAAGGTGAAACACCACTTGTTGGTTCCAAATGTCAATTATCACGATTGCAAAAAGAGGAAATGTCTATAATACAGACTTAATGCATAAAGCAACAAGTTACTTGTATACCATTATAACATTATTGTCTGTAAGACATACGTAACTCAGGAGGTCATGTAAAATACACACAAATATGTATACTTAATATGACTGCCCTGACAGAATAGAGGTCCTGGAGGCCTCCTCTATACTAAATACTAATCATTTTTAGGGTTAGTATTTAGATGTGGGCAAAATCTAGAAAGTTCTAGGATGTACACGGGGTAGTCTTTGGGGAAGCAACTATTTACCAACAAACAAGAAAATATTTTAATATGATGCCTGATGAAAATGTCCCAGTGCATTTAAGTAACAGCAGCACTGTATCTGGAATATCAAGAACATATACAAAGATGAAATAATTCTAGTACTTATTTTTACCATAAACATTTCTTTAATGTTATATTAAGACACAGAGTATACTGTTTAAAGTTGAACAATCATATTATGATGGAAAAATTCAAGAGATTAATTTTAAAAAAGCCCACATAGATGAAAGAATGTAGGGAGAAAGTGAAGTCTTGAGTGAATGTGTGTTGTTGTTGACATGAGTGGCCATGTCAAGCACCAACGCCCGAGTCCCGAGGGAGTGGCAAAGCCTTTATCAGGCAAATCTTTTCTCTGGTCTGAGTGTGAAAGTTGACAGCATGTGCAGAAAATGTCCACCATAGCTTTCTCCTGCTCTCCACAGAGACTGCTCCTATGAGGATGAGCTAACCTGGCCTTCTTGTTCCTCTGTGCACGATAAACAGCTAAGCGTGCTGTGGGGCTGCAGTTTCTCAGAGCCCAGACCACAGACCCCAGCTTTTCTGTACCCATGCCTATGTGTCTGTCCTTTCTTCATTGCCTCGCTGTCCTACTTAGGTCAACTCCTAGAACCATGCAAGCATGTGGCAAAAGAGTAAAGGTAACCAATGCATAGAGCTTAATATTTAAGTGTTTAACTGAAGCCTCAACACCAAAGAACTGCCTTGTAACCACATAAGTCAACGAAGTGAGCAGGACAGAAGGTGGCGTCACCATTTCAGACATATCGTCCAGGGTTCGGCCTTTCATCTCATCAACCTCACTCTTCAGGGCTGACACTCTTTCCAGCTCTTCTTGGGTGTAACTGTATCCAGATATACCCTTCTTCTCTTCAATAGTTCGCTATAAGAAATGAAAGGGCCGTGAGAGCTGACATCTTTTTCCCCAAAAAAAGTATTTCCTATTTCTAATGAAAAGTTATGAATAATATACATTTGTTTAAAATCCTAACAATCTCACTCACTTTAATTATTACTTCCTCCAAGAACACGTCTTTATACACTATAAACCTACACTCAAAAGTTGCCATGCTATCTTCAGATGTATAGGAAGTATATCTAATTTCAGATTCTCAAGTAATGTTGTATACTTAGCATAGAACCTAAAACACATGATGTACCCAATGAATATTTGGCATGCATGCATTCATAAGTGACAAGTTGTTTCCATTCACTCACTTGGTCCTTCTTATATACTAGCTTTTTTGAGCACAGCTCTAGTTACCAGTATAGAGCCATGAGCAAAAAGGGGGTGAGCCTCAAAAAGCTCATTTCTACCTCTCTCTGGTCTCGACTCCAAGATGACCAAAAAAGAAGCAACAACTTTCGAGCCATGCGTAAAAATGGCCATGCGTAGCCAATTCGCTGCACAAACTGTGCCCGCTGCACAAACTGTGCCCGCTGCAAACTGTGCCTGCAGTGTACCCAAGGACAAGACCATTAAGAAGTTCGTCATTCAGAACATCGTAGAGGCCGCTGCTGTGAGGGACATATCCGAAGCAAGTGTCTTTGACACTTATGTGCTTCCCAAACTCTGTGTCAAGCTGCATTACTGCGTGAGCTGCGCCATTCACAGCAAGGTGGTTAGGAATTGATCTCGTGAGGCCCGGAAGGACCGAACACCCCCACCACGATTTAGACCACGTGCTGCACCACGACCTCCACCAAAGCCCATGTAAAGACAAAGGCATTGATGACAGAAGGACAGAGAAAAATTACTCTGGACAAATAAAATGGAAGTTATACTTAAAAAAAAAAAAGCTTATTTATAGTGGAAAAACACACGATAAAAAAAATAAATAAGTAGAATACATTCAAGGTGAGAAGAGAGTGGAAACTTAAACCATAAGGTTGTTACAAAAAGTATAGACATCTGAGCAAAGCTCTGATGGAAGTACAGAAGTGGGAGCCCAGAAATGGAGCAGAAATGTCAGTCTGCAGGAAAAACATGAGAGTGTAACATCCTGGACACAAGTGGAAAAATGTGTGTGTGCATGCACATGTGTGAGAGTTTGCATATATGTGGAAGCCAGAGGTTGATTCCAGGTGCCCTTCTCAATTGCTCTCCAACGTATTTTTTTTTTTTATTTTTTAGATTTATTTATTTATTATTTATACAGCCTGCATATGTGCCTGAAGGCCAGAAGAGGGCACTAGATCTCATTATAGATGGTTATAAGCCATCATGTGGTTGCTGGGAATCAAACTAGGGACTTTTGGAAGAATGGTCAGTGTTAACCTCTGAACCATCTCTCCAGTCCCCTCCACCCTATTTTTTCGAGACAGTGTAACTGAACATGGAGCTCAGAGACTTGGCTAGACTGACTTGTCAGTAAGCCCCAGCAATCGTCTTATCTCTGGCTCTCTGGTGCCAGGATTATACGCTTGCATTGATGGACTTGACTTTTACATGGTGCTAAGGATTGAACTCAGGTTCTCATGCCTACATGGCAAGCTCTTTCCTGACCAAACTATCTCCCTAATGCCTGTAGAAAAATGTTACAGGGAAGAAGAAAGGGTCAGTTGTGTTAAATGCTGCTAAAAGGTTGAGTAATAAGAAGACGCAAGCCAAGCATGGTGGCGCTCACCTTTAATTCCAGCATTCAGGAGGCAGAGACAGGTGGATATCTGTGATTTCAAGGCCAGCCTGGTCTACAGAGGAGTTCCAGGATAGACAGGACTACACAGAGAAACACTGTGTCGAAAAACCAAAACCAAAACAAAACAAAAACCTATTGAAAGCCAGGCATGGTGGCACATGACTATAATTCCAGAACCCAGAAGACTGAGGCAGGAAGATGAGGAGTTCAAAGCCAGCTTGGACAACATAGTGAGTTTCAAGGTAGCCTAGACTACACAGTAAGACCCTATCTCAAAGAAGAATAAAAAAATATCATTGAAGAATATTCCAAATGGTTGGATTTCTGTGCTGCCAACAGGACATAAAAAGAAAACAGGACATAGAATGGACATAACAGAGGGGAGGAAATCACAGAGTATTAGCACACAATTTGTATGCAGTTTCCTCTGTAGGGATAATCAAAATCCCAAGCTGTGCACAGCAAAGGAAGATACTCAGAAACTGGGATATGATTGCTTAAGAGATATACACAGATTTTAGCATTTTCACAGTATTAGAGAGACAGGGATAGTGATTCAAGACTTGTCAACACATAGCAGCCCTGGTAAATGCCCTGGTTTCCAGCTAGCACAGAGGGCTGCATCTTAGAAGTATAGATATAACCTAACAGCCAGACCCAGGCCCAACAGTAACAACCAATTCTGAGGAATAAAGTCTATGCTAGTGCTATAAGGACTGTATCTTTTTGAGTAGGTGAAAACTAGAAATATATCAGCTCTAACATTACCCCTCTATTGGATTAAAGTGATCTTCAAGAAAGAAATTAAATCCAGCCAGGCATGGTGGAGCATGCCTATAATCCCAACATTCTGGGAGACAGAGGCAGGTAGATCTCCATGCATTCAACGCCAGCCTGGTCTACAAAGTGAGCCCAAGACAGCCAAGGCTACACAGAGAAACCCTGTCTCTAAAAACCAAATAAATAAATAAATAATCATTTGGAAGGAAAATTAATATAGCCAGGGCCATGAAAATTTAACCACATGTGATGTCTGACATTCAGTTAAAAAAAAAAAATATATATATATATATATATACATACACACACAGGACCAACCACTAAAAAACAAGAAAAATATACAAGAGAAATGGATGTCGGTATAAAGTTAATGACAGGAACTTTAAAACCAACAAGCAGGATCTATAAGATAGAATAAACCTGAAATTCTAAGATGGAAAAATAAAATAACTGAGATTAAGAACTCAATAAATGGACTAAACAGCAAACTAGGCACACATACATAAACACAGACACACATACATACAAGATTAATGAACTAGAAGCTAGCTGGGCACAGTGGAGCACACCTGTAATCCCAGCACTCAGGAGGCAGAGGCAGGCGGATCTCTGTGAGTTTGAGGCCAGCCTGGTCTGCCAGGACCATACAGAGAAACCCTGTCTCGGAAAAACCAAACCAAACCAAACCAAACAAAAAACAATAAAACAACCCAAATGAACCACTATGAGAAATAATAATATGGAATGAAAAAAGAAAAAATGAAGCATAACCAATAAAAAAAAAATATGGGACATGAGTCTGATCCCTGGGACCCACAGAGTGGAAAGAGGGAAGAGACTCCTAAAAGGTGCCCTCTGATATCCACACATGCCACCACACACGCATATGGACACACACAGTCAACAAACAAGTAATGTAGTAACAATAAAAAAGGAGCACGGGGAATGGTGAGTAAGGCTAACACAGACGTAACTGGAGTCCAGGTAAAAGGGCAGAGACAGACTGATTACTGCAGCACTAAAGGAGCTTGAGAAATCCCTATGTTTGCTTTTAAGTCAAGGCTAAGGGAATCAAGAGGAAATTAGAAAATAATCTGAACAATAATGCAGTTACCACTATCAAGTTTAAAACCAGTGTTGTCAGGATCCATGTTTGGTTCACAGTAAATTTAGTCTTAAATTTCTCCAGAAATAGACTATTCATCATCAGGAAACTGAAAAGTTCATATTGCCAGGCAAATGTGAAATGCCCTTGGCCTCAACCAGGACTGCCTGTTCACTGCAGCGTCCTGATGGGGAGGAGGAGGGAAAACGTCACACCAGGGGCACTGCCGGCAGCCGGCACATTGAAGCTCAGCAGAGCTTCAACGTTTACCTGCCAAGTCAAGCACAAGCACACGGAACAAGCCTGCAGGCAAACTTCCACACAGCATCTTTCCAAAGCTCCTTGGAAGTGCGTGTGTAAGCCATGAAAAAGAAATGTCTTACAATCACTTGCTTGGAATGATAATTTTACTCTTATTAACTAGCTAACCAAAAGAAAAACCTGCTTGGACTTCCAACTTCTATTAATAACTGCAAAGTAGGCACACATATTTTTAAAAGGCAGTGCTTACTGCTGCATTAAAAAAAATAAATGAATCAGCTTATATGACATCTCTGTAATTAATCAAAGAAAATTAATAATTGGACGATTTTCCAGTAAAAACAATGACCTCAGCTACAAGCCATAAGCCTCTGACATTTGTATTTTTAGCAGCTGTGATAAAGCTGTATTACCAGTTGATGCTGGATGGTCTCCTGACGTTGCTTCAGAAGTTCTTCTGTCCTCTGCAAGAGGCCGAATTCAGCCTTAAACTCAGCTATTATCTGATGCTTCTTTTTGAAAACTGTACTCTTGCTTCGAAGTTTACTGACGTAGCGCTTGAACTAAAAAAAAGTGCCCAAGCATTATAAATAAACTCATTGTATTAGAAAGCTTTTCCTCTCTATCTAGCAGGCCACACATCAGAACACACACTAGCCCAGTTTTCTTAGAAAACTAGTAAAGACCGACTGGTAACATTCATGCACTTGGTGTGTGTGCACCATATGCACACAGGAGACACACGTCGGAGAGGTGTCAGACTCCTAGGAACCGGAGTCAGGATGCTTGCTGTGCTGCGAGCCACACTGGGGCTGTGAACCAACCTGGCTCTTATTTGTTTTTATCAGATAAGGTCTCTATCCAGCCCTAGCTGTCTTAGAACTGGCTATGTAGACCAGGCTGGCCAGGCATGTGCCGCCGTATCCAGCTATGAACCTGGTTCTTCTGGAAGAGCACAAAGTGCTCTTATCACTGAGCCATCTCTCCAGCGTTAAGACTCACTTCTTAATAAAATATATATATATATATATAATATATATAAATATATATATATTCATTTTTAACTTACCCAAGTATTCTAATCCTTTCATAAAAGCTCTTCACAAATAAATGAAAAAAGAAAGCAAGAAAGAAAGGAAGAAAAAAAGAAAGAGAAGGAAAGAAAGAAATCCAACCCCCAAACAGTACAAAGGTCTAAAGAAGGAGGAAGAGGCAGTGAGTATATCTGCCCTTAGTCCTGTCATGGAGCCTTTTTTTTTTTTTTTTTTTTTAAGATAGGGTTTCACTGTGTAGCCCTGGCTGTCCTGGACTTGCTTTGTAGACCAGGCTGACCTCAAACTCACAGAGATCTGTCTGCCTCTGCTTCCTGAGTGCTGGGATCACAAATGTGTGCTACCACGACCAGCTTCATCATGGAGTCTCATGAATGACTGTGTTCTGCTAGACATGCACTTGATTCACTGGGCTCAATACAGACAACCGGAGTCAGCAACAATGAGTATCTGTCACCTGAGAAACAGACTGTGGCTGTTTTCCTAGGAAGCATTTAATGCATGGGGTAGGAACTCATCCTAAAATGTAAGAAATTAAGAATACTGAAGGTTAGCAGGACCTCATTTAATTCAGCCACTTACCTCTGTGTAATAGCCAAGCAACGGCAACACTACACTAATTAAAGAGCCATCATTAATACCGACTAGAGTCTGGAAAGCCAAGTGAAAGGAAATATTTCAGGAAATTCATATGATAAACATTACTTATCACATATCACATGCTAGGCACTGTGGCAGATGCTCCTACTCCACTCATCAAGCTTAAAGAAACCATCTAGAAAAAAAAAAAAAAAAGAAACCATCTAGATTTACAACACTGGTGAATATTATAAGGAACTGAAGGCACCCTGAGAGCAGGTAGTAGCTTAATTTGTGTTGGGGTGAAGATAGGAAATAGTGACTGGGGTTACAGGAGGGAACACATAGGAAGCTTCTTGGAATTAGTTACCTTCATGACAAAAGTGAAGACATTGGAGTATGTGAAAGGGAGAAGAAAGAAGCAAAGACTAGCATTCTAGGAAGCAGAAACAGGCTGGGCATGAGTCCTGAGACACTGGCTTCACAAAAGTACTGCTTACTGTGAGAAACAAAGGCTAGGGGCTAATGAAAAACCACTAGAAAGAAATACTTCCACACTCCATTTCTTCTTTTCTTACTATGTAATTTTTCTGCCATGTAGAGTTTTATTAAATAGATAATGATTCTATGGTAAGGACCCTGGCTGCCATAAGCATACCACTTCCATATAACAGCAAGCTCCTCCTGTACTACCCAACATCAGACAGTTCATTAGCAACCATCATGAATACACAGTGCTTCTCTTTGTTTTGTTTCTTGATTTTTTCGGGCACAGGGTCTCACTATGCAGTCTTTACTGTCCTGAGCTTGTGACATAGACCAGGCTGACCTTGACTTTACAGAGAGCTTTCTGCCTCTGTCTCCTTAGTGCTAGGATTAAGGGCATGTACCATGACACCCAGCTGTACAGTGCTTCTATTTGTTTTAAGGTGAGAAGCTTAATAAGGAATAACACACTAATAAAGTAATGAACATAATACCGACTGAAATCTTAGAAACGAGAGAACGGTGAGGTTCAAGGATACTATGCCAGTGAGGACTCTCCTTCTAAGCTCCTTTGTTTGTCGTTGATAAGAAAGACATGCTTTTTACATAAAGGATTAGATCTCGGCCAAGCATTGGTGGCACGTGCCTGTAATTCCAGCACTCAGGGAGGCAGAGGTAGGTGAATCTCTGTGAGTTCGAGGCCAGCCTGGTCTACAGAGTGAATTCCAGGACGGCCAGGGCTACACAAAAAAACCCTGTCTCAAAAACCCAAAAAATAAAAAAAGGAAAGAAAGAAGAAAGAAAAAAAGGAGTCAGATCTCAATTGAATATTTGACACTACCGGATGCAGAGTACCTTCAATAGTTCTCAAAACTGATTAATATTTTGGTTTTTTTAATATTTCATTTATTTATTTATTCTTAATGATTTTTTTTTGAGATAAGGTTTCTCTGTGTAGCCCTGGCTGGCCTGGAACTTGCCTTGTAGACCAGGCTGATCTCAAACTAGAAATCTGCCTGCCTTTGCCTCCTGAGTGCTGAGATTAAAGGTGTATGGTGTGTCACCATGCCCCACTTAAATATTTGATTTTTAAATTTTTTATTTTATGTGTATGTTGCATATATATACATTTATATATATTACATATTTAATAAATACATTATTATATTATTTTATGTGTGTGTTGCATATATATATACACACACACACATATACATATATATATGTCTGTGTACCATGTGTGTGCCTGCTGCTGCTGAGGCCAGAAGAGGGAATTATACTTGAACCTGGGTCCTTTGTGAGAACAACTAGTATTCTTAACTGTTTTGCCATCTCTCCAGCCCTACAATATTTTGACTTAATTATCATTAGTGTTGAAAATGCTGCTTCACATCACACACAGGTCAAAATGGTAGCAGTATGTTTATGGGCATCTCAAAATTGTTGTAAATTTTGTCTTAATCCTAGGTTAAAGTTAATTTAACAATATTTTTCAGTGAAATTCAAGACAGCAACTCACAACCATTTCTTGTTTTTGTTTTTCAAGACAGGATTTCTCTGTGTAGCCTTGGCTGTCCTGGACTCTGTAGACCAGGCTGGCTTTGAATTCACAGAGCTCCATCTGCCTCGGCCTCCTGAGTGCTGGGATTACCAGCATGCCCCTCAAACACTGTAACACAAACCAGTCCAAAGATAAACTAATTTGGTACACACTGAAGACTGACAGTAGAAATATGAAGTCTTTGTTTTCTATAAGCAGACCGCTGTGTTTCTGTAACAGCAGAAAATACTGTATGGACAGTAGAAACATTACAACTCGTAATAGACCAATGGTGTTAAATGTGAGCATAGTGTGATGGCATATGCAGTGCTATTTGTGTTCGTGTGTGTTCAAAACGGTTGCAGAGAGGTCCTGCGTTACAACAAGAGTTACCACTGACAGAAATACTGCAGAGTCATTACATGTTTGCACATATTTGATTTTGAATTAATTTTTGGTTAGTGCATAGTAAAAAACCTTTTACTGCTGCCAATTTTTTTATGACTCCAAAATTCTGTTATATCATCCCATGAACTTGCTATCCACAGTTTCAGAAAACAAGCTCTAGAGAAACAAAGTTGAAAAATACTTTTCCTTTTTTTTCTTTGTAGATTTTTTTTCGCTGTAGTATTCTTTTATATATAAATTACAGGTTATTTACTTTGCATCCCAGCTGTAGCCCCCTCCTTCATTCCCTCCCAATCTCACCCTCCCTCCCTCATCTCCTCCCTGTACCTCTCTAAGTCCACTGATAGGGGAGGTTTTCCTCCCCTTTCATCCAACCCTAGTTTATTAGGTCTCATCAGGACTGGCTGCAATGTTGCTGAGCTGCCATGGGCTATGTCTGAGCAGGGGTTCTAAGTTATATCCATGCATAGTCCTTGGTTGGAGATACAGTCTCAGAAAAGACCCCTGTGCCCAGATATATTTGGTTCTTGTGGCACTCCTGTTCTCTCTAGGTCTTACTAACCCCCCATTCTTTCATAAGATTCCCTGCACTCTGTTCTTTGTGGATTTTTGAGACAGGGTCTTCCTATGCAGTCTGAATATGACCCTTGGCCTTGGCCTCCTTGTGCTGGTAATGCAGGCACGCGACAACACATGGGGTTTAATGATATATTGGATGGGAATAGAGAGGGACTGATTGTCTCAGTGTCCCTTGCAGCCAGGCTGGCCTCCAATTCAAAAGGCAGCCTTGAATGGATCTTCTTGCCTCCACTTCTGAAGGCTAGGATTACAACATGTGCCACCATGCCTGGTTCTCCAAGAATTTCTCTATAATTAAGTTAGTCTTGCTACTCAGGAATCAAGCCCCTACACAGCAACTTTTCAATGGCTAGGCTACAAAAGCTACTTGAAAAATCTGGGCAATACTGAAGTACCTAGACTCTAATAACTTGCTAATTTTCCTTTTAAAGAATAAATGTATAAGCCTCATATAACCACAGACTCAGAATCCCTAGAGTACCTATACATTCTATTAAAAGTGTCCTGGGCAAAGAGCCCAAAATGAAACCAGCCCTGCCCATCTGCTGTCCTGTGTAACATCTAGGCCAATTTCCCTTCTCTATCTTGCTGTGCTCCACAACTATTTTAAAAGCTGACAGTTAGAAATGCTTTTGGAGGAAGAACAAGCCCACAGTTCTCCCCGTACCCTGTGAGAACTGGTTATTATTTGGCACTCACTGTACATTCTGCCTAGGGGAAGGGTATGGTCAGGGTCACATGAGTCACAGTTCTACACAAAGGAGCAATAGGTGGCCATCGAAGCATCTAAGTGTACCCTTCTGCTCCTGGCTCATTAAGGAGAAAGAAACACATTAGCAATGTTCTCATTCATTGGACATTCCTTCTAATTACTACTTGGACTTTAGGTTATTTGGGGGCTTTTAAGTAATATACAAAC